CCCCAATAACAGATTCAGTAACAGAACATTAAGGTCATTAATGAGGTAATTAGGCTTACCTTTGAATCATTTTCATCAAAGATGTCTCCAACAATCTCCCCAACCACACCTTCTAAGGTTATTATCTGCTCCATCAAAAAATGAGTACATAAATATATAAAATCAATCAGTCAATAAAATGAGCACAAATACTATTAAATAAGCAATCCAAAAGAGAAAGAAAACCCATGCATGGTAAGTTCTAGGCTTTTTGTGTTCTCATGCTGCATATTCCACTCGTCTGAACTTTAGAAGAAAAATTATTTCAAAACATATGAGAGAGCATTTGAGTTTCAACTGCAGGGAACTGTAGGGAACTCCTCTGTCTCCTTTACCATGTTGAACCTGATATTAGTGTTACATGCCAAACCTTCTGAAGTTGTAAGATTTGAATAACATCCTAAAGCTAGAAGCTCATGAGTTAAGGATTGAGGGGTCATATCAACCATTTAGATTTTAAGTGGTCAACATATTATCCTGTTTGACTTTTTACCATCATTTGTTTTATTGAGTTTATGTTATGGCATTTGGATGCCAACAAACAATGAACAAATACTACTTTAAGTGGGCAAAAAGAACAAGCTAATAAAGAATAAGGTTTTGCCTTTAGGACTTTTAGCTACAATTGAAAAAATTTTGTTTAGTTTTTTAGCCTCTTAGCAGGGGAAGCATTGTTAGCATCTAATTGTAGAATAAAGTTCAAAATATCACAAATGTTGTCTCCTATTGTTTCAAGATATTACAAGTTAGCATAAGTTGACATGCGTCACAAAATAAAAATAAATAAAAAGGTAGAAGTTGGAACTTCATCATAATAAAAAAATCTCAACACAATGGATGATTCTGTTTAAGTAGAGTTTCAATATGAAGCTTTGCACAGACCCCAACAGTTCCGCCATATCCATTAAGAAAAACAGCCATGTGAACCTTTCTCATCTGGAACTCTCTAAGAAGATTCCACACTGACATTGAATCTGCAAAACCAATTTTCTAAATTTTGCTGTATAGATAATTGAAGCATTCTATTTTTTCCATTTTCTTTTCCCCTAGACAATAACTACTAAAACAACAAATCAGTATGCTGAAACAGGGTCTTCTTCACTTCAATTGATTATAAAAATCAAAAAGGAAATGATGTCTTCACATAAAATGTGGATAATATTGCACGAAAATGGAGTAATTGCAATAAAAAAAAAAAAACTATGCAACTACCTCAATCAACCAGTGGTAGTGTCATAAAAAGTTAGAAAATGTTAATATCAACCCAAAGACCATCATTAAATATTAACTAGAGAAAAAAAATCAAGGGTTACTAAGCACAAAGTAGGCAGGTTTGTGAGCCATGTCTCTCACAGTAGAACTTTCAAGTTGCTCACCCTCACCAGTTCCCAAAAAAAGAAATAAAAATCGAAGTGATTATAAATCTGCATGCTATGATATTGACATTGTTGCATATAATTGATATGAAAAGTTCTAATGATGGAAAAAAGGGTGCATCGAAGGGGGAAATTGCCTGACCTTCCAAAACTTTACTTTAAAAAGCAATTCTCATCATTTAAATGCCCCTTGCCATATGGAATTGGATCAAGAGACACAGAAAGAATGCTTCTGCTCTTTCACATGCATCAACTAAGGGATAACAGGAGATGATTTGAAAGATGATTAAGGGTTGCTTTTGGAGCACAGAAAATTAGCATCTGGATATTGCTTCCAACAGCTATACCAAAGATGGAAAGCCAATACTATTCTGAAATCCAAAACAGAAGAACAGCATAAGAAAGACTACCAAAAAATGAAACTGAAAGGGATCAGACAAGACATTTTGTCTTTTTCAAGAAATAATTTGATCTAAACAACTAATGGAGAATAACACTGATTTAGAAAACTCGAACAGCTTCCATGATGCATGTTGTAAACGGTAAACCTCTCACCTCAATTACTCATTCTCTGGTCTATGGACTTAATATATCTTACGGTGCTAAGGTTATAACCAGCATTACAATGCTAGATGGATAAATTTGCTCCAAGCCAATTGAGGCATTTATCCATTCAAAATTGAATCAAGAAATAGGCAAACCATATTTACAGAACACAAGAAAAATTCCCTGGTTGTTTCCT